GGTGGAGCAACCATGGATGACACGACAGGCCATGGTAAAGTTTGAAATGGAGCAGAAACTACCACTGGGCACCAGCTGATCAGCCGAAGATCATTCCAGAACTTTTCAAGGTCAGATTTCAAGTTACGAGGCCTGAATGTGGTTGCAGCTCGTGACAACATTCTGTTCATTGTTCCTTGATCATCATTTAAAGCATTGGGTATCCATCTCATTGCATTAACTTCTAAGTAGGACAGAAGCACCTTGCCTTTTAATTGCGACTTTTGCTGATCCTCATGCATTAGCCGTTCAACCTGTCGAGCACTTTGTACGACTGTCTCAGGGGTCACAGATGTTTTAAGGCCTAAACCGTGTAGCATGTCCAAAATACCAGGTTCTTGAAAAGGACCACAGGGAAAACTATCAGAATCCTCTAATAGTGCATATAATTCTTCATTACGTGGATCATATAATGCAGTAGGAGACCTAAGAGCACCACCAAAGGTCGGAATAATTTCCAAATTTTTCAAATAATCCCTGAAAGATAAGTCCTCAACACACAACTGTGGCAGGTTTTGCAGAATAGAAAGAACAATGCTGTCACGAACTTCAGGTTGCAGCTCCCCAACTCTATTCAACACCTGCTGCTTATAGAAGCGTGCTTTCCCCATTCTCTCAATTCCATAATATCTTAACAAAATTTCCACCTCAACATCTGAGGAGCTAATAAGGAACTCAGCTCCAAGAAAGCACTCAGGGATGCCTACGGGTGGTAAGTACTTGCGCGGATTTTCAAGATCTGAGAATTGGAAACTTTGAGTAGATCCATCACCATACACTTTATAAATAGGCAGCCTCGTGCAATTTCTTATGTCAGACTCATTCAAACAGTCTCCAAAATACCACTTTGGATCAAGAAGAAATGCACGAAGTTCATCCCTCTCTTTTGCTTCCAAATTATGAAAACATGTTATTATGGTGCCATAATTTAAAGAGACAGCATCATATATAGATTCCAGAATCCCTGAAGCATTACCATCACTTACATAATGAGATAAATCTGAGTGTTCAACTCCATAATTGGGGCTCAGAATCTTGCAACCAATTTTAAAAAGTATTTCTTTCATCTTGTCAGAAAGCTTTTCTGCATTGATCAATTTTGATTGTCTCGAGGCTCTGTACAGATGGCAGGAAGTAGATGGCAAAATGGGCCAATCACTAAGCAATGACAGTTTCTCGCACTGATTCTGAAGATATTTCCAAAATAACACAAACCATGTTGAAGTAGGGTGATTATGACAAGACTCTGGATCCCACAACACTTTGCTTTTATATTTCCAATCAGCGGGTACAAATCTTGGATAAAATTGAAGAAAATACTGAAGATTGAAAATGACAAGATTTGCCTTTGAGGACTTTGCAATAGCAGAGAGTCTACTTAGTATGTCAATAGGAATATTCTTATCAATTATTCTATCATATATTTGTTTAAGCAGGATGAATTCTAAGTCATTGCAAATAAAATATGAAATTCCTTTGGAGGCATCTGACAACGATCCAAATTCACCATTTGCCAATGGAAGCAAAGGCAGGTTATATGCATGTGTTCCAACATCATCATCAAGCAAATCTTCAAGACAATATTCCAACAATACAAGCTTGAAATATTTGCCCAGGGTAGAAACAGATCTACACTCTCTGAGAAAACATCGTACTGTATCAGGAGTCACCACCTTCTGCTGAAAACTGGAAGCATATTTCAAGAGCATGTTAAATAAAACGTTGGGCAAACACACAATAGGCATTCCTAGCACAATCAGAGCCTCACCAAGTTCCTTACTCTTGGTAACTTCCTCATCATGTAGAAAAGCTTGAACTGGCGACACCCATTTTCCACCTTCAAGATCTGAATGCAACACAGGAGCACTAGAAATGTTTCTGTATATATGCTCAACAAGAATACTCCACGGCTCTTCAAAAGAACCACTTGGCCATAAGGAATAGTACAAGTCCCTGGAATCTAGCAGTCCCCGTACACCAAGAAGAAGTTGCATAAACGCAGGTGCCACAACATCTTCTAAAAGAAGCCTGTTCCAGACAGAACGGATTTTTCCACTTCTGTCCATGTCAGCCCCATACCAGATGCCACGACGATTCGACGAGACCTCAAAGTATCCATTAACTTGCACAGTGAGGCCAGTCCTAACGGGCAGAGGGAGAAAGCAGAATGCCCGGCCAAGCTTAAGAGCATCATTCTGTTTAAAATCACATTGCACCAATATAAGTTCTTTAGGATGTTATAAAGCAGAAAGTAATGTAAAAACTAAGAGGAAGGTAAAACTTATGAGAGACTGCAAGAAATTGAAATGCATTGAAATAGAAAAACAATGAATGTATCATATATTGCAAATTACATGTGCTGAATTATCGGATATGCAAGCTGCAACTGATGCCCATGGCAGCAAGTGAATATCATATTCCTTAGACGCAGTAGCTGCAAAGGAACCAATCCTACTGGATGTGGATGCCAGTGTCTGAACTAGATAAAAACTATCTGTCTTCTTCTCAGATTGGGTCCCAATTGTTGACTCACTTAAGAAGTCCACTGAATAGCAGTCCACCTGACTCTCTGTACAGTTTACTGACTTGGGAAATCTCAACGCAGCTTGCCGATGCCAAACAATATCATCACTAGCGGAAACGACAGAGCAGGAGTAAAGCTTCCTGGGCTCATTGTCCCAGGCCTCCCACACATACATTTCAATACGCAAGACATTTTTTAGGAAAAGTAACGTGAAAACTCCTTCTTCATAGAGCTGAAGAAACAAGGAAGAAAGGTCGTCTTGGGAATACTCTTGCCTGGAAAGCTTGCTGGTTGCTGCCTGCTCTGCATTCCTCAGAGGGAAACGGAATAGAGTTCCGGCAAATTGTGTTTTCATGTCGCAACCGAAAGCACAGTAAGGAAAGAACTGGTCTTTGTACACAGAGATGGCTGAAGAAGAAACATAGTCAATTCGCTTCCCGGGATTGGATGCAGAAACCTTTGGAAGAAAAATGCCTTGGGGGTCAAACAATACCACATACTTCCCGCTCACAAACGACGGCAAATCAGTTAAATGGTACACGGAGTTGAATCCAACCCTAAAAATTAGACAGAAATTGAACAAAAAATCAGAAACCAGTCTCCTTTTCCCGCCAATAGCAAGCATTGTCGAGCACCCCAATTTCTTTCCTGACCCATCAAGAAAACTAATGCTAATGAAAATTTAAAAAATAATAATTTACCCGAATCGGCCGGTTTTTGAGGCCTGGCCATGCTTGCTACTGCCGCCGATCCTCGAAATACTAACAAAGTCTTCCTCCGTGAAGACGGCGTCGTTGTAAGCCAAGAGCGCGGGCCCCTGCCACGGCGCCAGGGTCTCCGATAGAAGGGAGTCGGTACCGTGAAGCCTGCGGTCGAGGCAGAGTCGGACGGTGGTGGCGCCGGCATCGTCGGCGTTCTGAATGAGCTCTTTGAGCACCGTCGTCCCCTCGGGATAGTTCACTAAAACCTCCCGGATTCGCCGCGTCAGGTCAACCTTTTGACCGAAGTCTTCTAGAAAGATCGACTCCGGTGTCGCCGCCGGAGACTCCATACTTTATCTTGGTCTTCTCCGGCGTGTTTCTGATCCTTAACTTTTGTATTAATTGACTAAACAACCGCCATGGAATTTGAGGTAGTTACTGGAGGACCTGTCGCCGTAAAGCAGGTGATGGAGTTCTCAATTCTGGGAGGGGGAGAGAGTACGACAAAATGAAAGGGCGATTTTGGAGAAATCAGGAGACACCGACACAGAGAGTGCGTGTAATTTTCATGTAGAGATTAATTATGCAATGTTAAAACTCTAATTAATTACTGTTGCTTTCGAATTAATTATCCTAATATTAAGGAAGGCTTTGGTTTTTTTGTCGTTTTGGGCCTAGTGGCCCTCTCCTCTTTCTGCAGCCTTATTCCTTGTACGGCCGGGTCAACGATCGTATGAGTGAAGGCTTCTAACGACGAACGTGCGCATGTCGTATCGTGTGTGGTGCACGGTGCACCATAGTCGATTCTCATATGATAATAAATAATTCAAAATTCAAAGTTGGTTGGAAGACGAAATTATAATATCAATATGTTCACCAAAAAAAAGGATTGATTTTCAATACGTTAGATTATATAGTACATTCCATTAGATGAATTCCAAATTTTTAATAATTAAGAAGGAATATTGTTATTTGCTCTCTCTAGAATTTGATTTTTTCTAAAATTTTATGATCAAGTGTCAATATTTCCTAAGCATCCATTCTCAACATAACACAATAATTGGCTGGTCACTTATAGGGATGTGCTTCTCCATATAATTACTTTAAGTGATTTTGGAGAATATAGGGGAGAAGCACAAGAATTGTTTTTGGTCATATCCATAATCACTATCGTAGGTAACACATTTTGTCATACGGATAATAAACATGTTGAATTAGTACAGTTACATATAACAATTTTTTCTAATTAATTGGTGTTAAACTAATTAAACCTAAGCTTGTTGATGTAACTCCACTTTTCTACGACTTGCATCTTTAATCAGAAAATTGTGTGAGAATATTCGGTTGCTCGATTAATGAATTTATATATATATATATGTATGTATATGTTTGTTTGAGTTTTGGACACACACAAATTCAATGGTTGATGAACGGTCGAGATGGACAGACAGACTTGACCTTTAGCACCACCACCAGTACCATATAGTTGAAGTTTCACAACAAACAAACATGCACAATTGAACGTGGGAAGCTCTACTTTAATGGCGTACTACCTGCAATGGATAAATTTCATATCATATAATGTTATATTGTCAATCAATCACAACGTGAGGGCTACTTCTATCAAAATGATTGCAGAATTTTCAGACCCAATTTCTTATCTCCTTGATGATTTTCTATGTACTTTGTGCATCTATATATATATGCATGCATAGAGGACACTAGTAGCCAAGCTAACTAGACCTACCAAAAATATCTTGGACGTTCATATTCCTTAAGCCATGAGGAACTGCAAGCTTACACCGTGCGTCTTGGTAGCATTGCTACTAGTTGGAGTTCTTCACCTGGAAGCAGCCATGGCCACGGACTTCACCTATGGCGAGGCTCTTGACAAGAGCTTGATGTTTTTCGAGGCACAGAGGTCAGGGAAACTGCCCTCAGACCAGCGAGTCAAATGGCGCAGCGACTCGGGACTCACGGACGGCGTTGCTCAAGGGGTAATTATTAATTAGAATAGTTTACATGAAATTTTACATGTATATCTATGATCAGGCATCGATTACATGTACAAAATTATGATATAAATTGTGTGCATGCAATGCAATGCAGGTGAACTTGGTTGGAGGGTATTATGATGCAGGGGATCATGTGAAATTTGGACTGCCGATGGCATTTACAGTGACAATGCTTTCATGGGGAGCTATTGAGTTCAGGAAGGAAATCACAGATTTAGCCCAAATGGGTGAAACCTTATGGGCCATCCGATGGGGCACTGACTATTTCATGAAAGCACATCCACAACCTAATGTTCTCTGGGGACAGGTATGCATGTTTGGCTGGCTGCATATCACAGACTAGTTTCTGTTTGGTCACCTATTTCATGTATATGTATTTCTTCTGTTGAATTAATGAGAGCCTATAGCTGCCTGCTTTGGTATTGGTAGACCACCTAACTGTTTTAATTTGGCTAAACAGAAAATTAATCATATGGCGTTAATTAATTAATTGTAAACATATGATGATAATGATGATGATCAGGTAGGAGATGGGGATTCGGATCACTATTGCTGGGAGCGTCCAGAAGACATGACAACTCCAAGAACTGCGTACAAGATTGATGAAAATCATCCTGGTTCAGACCTTGCTGGAGAAACTGCAGCTGCCTTGGCATCAGCTGCCATAGCTTTCCAGCCTTACAACTCTTCCTACTCTGCTCTCCTCTTAGTTCATGCAAAACAGGTAATTAATCTCGTCATCTCAAAACAATATATATCATGAATGATGTAAATTTCTTTGCAACATATTTCAGCTCTTCACGTTTGCGGATAGATTCAGAGGTCTATATGATGAGTCCATTGGGTCTGCTAAGAACTTCTATACTTCATCAGGCTACTCGGTACGTGCATTAATTCTATGTATATATTTTCTTTTTCTTTTCCAATAGGTCAAGCAAGTCACAAGACAAACAGTTATATCTTTGTTTTTATTTTGTAATTAATGAATTAATTTGATACAGGATGAGCTACTATGGGCTGCTGCATGGCTTTACCAAGCAACGAACGAAGAGTACTACCTCAAGTATGTGGTGGACAACGCCGTGTATATGGGAGGAACTGGATGGGCTGTCAAAGAATTCTCTTGGGACAACAAGTATGCTGGTGTCCAAATCCTTCTCTCCAAGGTGTTGTTGGAGGGCAAAGGCGGTGCTTATACTTCCACCCTCAAGCAATATCAGGCCAAAGCAGATTACTTTGCCTGCGCTTGTCTCCAAAAAAATGAAGGCTACAATGTCCTCAAAACTCCCGGTTAGAACTTACAACAAAAAACCGTTATGTGCTTATTTATTCCTAATTCAAATATTAGAGAACTAAACTAACTACTCTTTGATTTGATACTTTCTTCTTGAACTGAAAAACCAGGGGGTCTTTTGTACGTGCGTGAATGGAACAACTTGCAGTATGTGACTTCTGCATCATTTCTTCTAGCTGTTTATTCTGAATATCTCTCTGCTGCAAATGCCAAGCTCACTTGCCCGGAAGGACAAATTCAACCTCAAGAGCTTCTGAATTTTGCAAAGTCACAGGCAGACTACATACTTGGTAAAAACCCCCAGTCAATGAGCTATATAGTTGGGTTTGGCTCGAAATATCCAGTTCATGTGCACCACAGAGGTGCTTCCATTCCTGCTGTGTCTGTCCTGCAGTCTCTGGTTGGATGTGTGCAAGGATTTGAGACATGGTATCATCGCCCCGAGGCGAATCCTAATGTCATCTATGGCGCCCTTGTGGGAGGTCCTGACCAGAATGACAACTTCTCCGACGACCGCTCCTCTTACGAAGAGACTGAGCCTACACTTTCTGGCTCTGGTCCCCTTATTGGCCTCTTCTCTAAGTTGCAGAGTTTAAATGGAATTAATGTTCCAGGTACCTACCATTTTCACCATCAATCATCAATGTCAAATTGACTAATGAACTAATCCTCCTGAGACATAATCCTCTATCTAATCTGAGGTTTAATTAGCATCACCTCTGATGTTGCCTAATTCTTGAGTTTTTATGTTACAGGTTATAACAGAGGATCACCAAACTCCCACAACCAAACCATACCAAGTCCAAGTGAGTCTTCAATATTGTTATGATTTTTAATCTTCACTTACCAGAAAGAAATGTAAAAGACTGTCTGCATTGCTCATACTTTCCACTTTACAGGTCCCAATCAAAATGAAAAACAAGTACCCAACAAAGTATCAGGTAAATTTGCTCAGTATTTTTTGCAGTATGATATGATATCATGCAAAGATGGTTGGTTGGTTGGTTTGGAAATGCTAATGAAGCAGATTATACGTTGACTTGGTTTTCTGCAGGCACCCCAATCAAATTCATTCACTCAATAAGCAACACATGGTCTATTGGAAAAATAACATATTATCGCCACAAGGTGATATTGAAGAACACATCGCAGAAACCAGTAACAGATGTTAAGCTGCTGATTGAAAACCTGCAAGGGCCTTTATGGGGTCTCTCTCCAACTCCAGAAAAAAACACCTATGAGCTTCTTCAATGGCAAAAGGTCTTGCAGCCTGCCTCAGAGTGCACTTTCGTTTACATCCAAGGTGGCCCTCAAGCAAAGATTTCCATCCTAAGCTATCATTGACCATCCAAAACAATATAAAAAGAGAGAAAAGAAACAGAGCCAACGTGAAGTCATGTTAGCAACTAGAGATATCATTGTGCAACTGTCTCGAGCAGACCTCTTCCTATTTCATTTCACCCCGTGGATGCAATGTAACACGTTTCTGAAGCATATCATAAAGAGTCCAGCACCGACTTTTTCATGGCCAGGCAGACACGCTTGTATCAAATTTTGATGCCAATAATTTGTAATGTATACTTCTCTTCGAAAAAGCCAGCATTGCTCAACAGCATGAAAATCAAAGACCATTTACCATTCGTCTTTCCTAACAATGCAGGCCTCAATTGCACATTGCACACCCTAACTCAACCTATTGTGCGTTCCTTGCATACAAATGTCAGAGAATGCAAACACTTTCTTTCTCCTCTCTCCATTCAAATATTAATGCATGTGCTATCTCTTCCCTCCAGATAGAGAGGTAAGTAATGGGGCAAATAAAAATAGAATCAGCTCTCCACAACCAGGTATATTGTGTTGTGAATGACAGGAAACATGCTACGTCTCAACACGATAGATTTGATTCTGAAAATGCACTTTATAAGTACAAAATACTATATTAATGCTCAAAATTAATTCATAACATCAATTCCAGAAATTCCACTGATCACTCTCACATTATAGTTCATGTCGAAGTTCAACTCAAAACCAGACATGCCTTGCAAAATAAAATTAAAAATAATAATAAGAACGGCTAAACAAAAGCTCCAAATCTTTCTCTTGGCATAACTAATCCTCACTGAAGGTAGTCTTCTTCCCTGCACAAAAAGCAGAGCGATGAGAATCATCAGATAATGGAATTTATTAGAAGCTTGAGTCACAACTGAAAGCCGATTAGGCGCCATCAAATCCAAGTCTATTATGAAACAGATTTTGCATCTTTAGGCGCCATCATATCGCATATCCAAATATATAAGCTACAGCTTAAGAAAAGTTCAGCATATCGGATGTAGAAAATGAAAAGATGATAAAAAGCTTCGAACCTGTTCCAGGAGCAGCTAGATTTGGCTTGTTCGATCCTCCACGTCCTCCTCTACCACGTCCACCAGAAAAACCCCGGCCACCTCCACCTCCACGCCTACCACCAAAACGGCCACCACTGTCCCTACCACCAAAACGGCCACCACTGTCCCTACCACCAAAACGGCCACCACTGTCCCTACCACCAAAACGGCCACCACTGTCCCTACCACCAAAACGGCCACCACTGTCCCTACCACCAAAACGGCCACCACTGTCCCTACCACCAAAACGGCCACCACCACTCCTGCCACCACCACCTCTGCCACTACCACCAAAATCAGCTCGTGGTTTGGCCTCTTGTACTGTCAAGACGCTGTTTCCAAATTCAGATTGGTCAAGTTGCAGAGCTTTTTGGAAACTATCCCCTTCCTGGAACTCCAAGTAAGCCATCCTGCAATTTTATAAATATAATTCATCAGCCTCAGACACCTAGAGAAAGATCAGGTAGAGCAAAGAAAATAGTATAATGCTTTTGTTGGTAAAAATAGTATATAATGCCTTTGTTTAGATAGTGACCAACATTCCTAAAAAACACATGAAGTAACACAACCATAGAGGAAAATATTCAACATCAAATAAGTAACAAAGAGAAATGAACCAACAAAAGAAATAGTACAAACCCCTTGGGTGCTTGAGTCTCATAATCTTTTGGGATGGACAACCTTGTTATCTCTCCACAATCACCAAAAAATTCTTGCAGGGAGCTCCTGATCTGTAAAACTTAAACTAGTTACATTTGCACAAGAATATGGATATTATACCATTAAATAGACAACAAAGCTACAGATTCTTGTACAACATTACCTCATCCTCCCCTTGGGATGTATCAAAACCTCGAATAAATATTGTAGACTGGCCTTGTCCACCCTTCTGATATGAGTTCCCCTCATTGCTAAAATGACCAATGAAGAAACAGAAGAAACAAAATGAATGAGATCATCGAATCAGCACATTGCATGTAGCAATTAAGAGTTAAAAAGTACCCGCTATGTGGGGTATAAGCACCCCTTTCACGAGCAAGATCAAGTCTCACTCCACGGCCCAGCAGCTCCACACCATTTAATTCAAGAGCCTGCAACAACGATGATTGTTACATTAGTGACACAGAACCTAGAAAGCGCTAGAGCATTAGATTCCACAAATCAAGAAAAAGGTCCTACCTTCTGTGCTGCTTCTGATGTGGCAAATTCCACATGCCCGAAGCCCCTAAACACCCCTTCTTCATTAGTGGAGAAACGGACATCAACAACTTCACCAGCTTCCTTAAAGAAGCTTTCGCTGCACATAAAGTACAATTAGATGAAATCCACCTAAAAAGAAACACAAGCTTAAAATCACGCTGCACATACACATCAGCCCGCTCAACACTGAATGACAGGTTTCCAACAAACAAAGTCTTGGAAGTTGTTGCTTCAGGAGTAGCAGGGGTTTTGGGCTGCACAAATATTATTACAAATCAGAACACAACAAATATCTTGGGCACGCTGAAAATACTATCTACAAAGCAGAAAAGGTCAATTACAGCTTTCTTCTCGGACTTCAAATCAGCATCTACCATTTCAACATCAGTACCCTGTTCACACAAAATTTAGCATAACATGAGTTATATACATTGAGACCATATTTCCAATCTTAATTGTTCAGCAGTACGGTAAAACCTCTGTTTAACAGGAAATACATGAGCACGGAAACTCAGTGAACAAGGTGGATAGTAATAGGTAACAAGACAATAGCACAAGTACAAGCAACAGTAAAATTACCTTTTTCTTTGGAGTCTTTGCAGGTTCATCCTCCTCTTCTTCTGATGAAGACTCATCAGATTCGCTACTATCTTTCTTTGACACTTGGGAAGGCTGCAAGAATCCACAATTAGCATGACCATAAATTCCATGATCAATACTGTACAAATGGCAAATTCAAGACCCAGAAAAACCAAAATTTCAAACCTTCTTTACTTTCTCTGCCTTTGAGGGCTCCTCATCTGAACTATCATCGTCACTATCCTCATCTGAACTTTCAGAAGTGACGTCCTTCTGAGCAGCTTTTGCACTTGGTTTTGCAGCGTTTGAGGTAGCCTTGGGTTGAGAAACAATATATGCAACTTCTTAAAATTACATGAATCAAGGTAAACTGTGAAGAGAATCAAAAAAGATTTTATGAGAGAAGTCACATACCGACACCTTTGGCTTTTTATTTTGAGGCTCATCATCATCTTCTTCATCAGAATCACTTTCTTCTGAACTCTCATCAGTCTTTTTTGATGGTTGAGCCCTCTTAGCTGAGGGGGCAACACCTTTAGCGGTTACCTGCCACAAGAAAATTTTACTCACTGTCATGGGGCCTCTATGAAGGCTAAAAGAATATAAAACAGAACCAGTATTAGTCTCATCCTCTAAGAGGAGAAACCTTTTAATGGCTCTAATGTCGGAACTAAAAAACTACAAAATTAAACCACACAGGTATAACTTGTTCACTAGCTCCAACACATTCCAAAAGGAAAGTGAAAAGAACAAACCTTCTCATCCTCTGAACTATCTTCAGAGGAGCTATCAGTAGAATCCTCCTTCCCTTTACGGGTTACAGCAGATACTTTATTCACAATTTCTTCCTAGACATGCTCAGAAAGATTAAAATTCAACCTAATTTCTGAAATGCATAAAGTATAACTTCACAACTTAAAATAATTAAACCTATATTTTAATTCCATTATGGAATTAAAATATTTAAGCATGGGCTCACACCTCATCGTCATCACTCTCCTCTTCAGAGCTGCTACTAGTGTCCTCCTTCTTAGCAGCCACTGCTGGACCTTTCTTCGTAGCAGCAGGCACTTGGGCAGTACCCTTTGCAGGGGTTTCCTAGAAACACAGGAACACACATTTGAGCATAGAAGCTTTTAATTTTATAAGAATTCCTTGAAGCGTTAATGCTCATGCACAACTTATAGGTACAATTCCAAATCTGACTAAGCTGACATAACCACCTAGAAAGATTATGGATCAAATAAAATACGCAAAATATTGTATCAAAATCATACCGACTACACTGACTCAGTTTATATAATTACAACTGCAGCATAATAATCAAGGGATTTGGCAAAGCGAAAACTCACATCATCATCACTTGACTCATCTGAGCTGTCGGTTGAGTCATCCTTCTTCTTTGGAGCGGCAGTCGGGCCATTCTTGGCAGTTACCTTGGTTTTAGGAACCTAAAATCAAACAGATATACACATTTAGAAAAGCCAAATGATTTCCCAACATTTATATAAATCAGTAGTCATATTTTGAAAACTTTACTCACTTCTTCCTCATCAGATTCATCAGATTCGTCTGAACTGCTGGATGGAGCAGCTTTCTTAACACTAGCTCCAGCTGTCCCATTTTTAGCAGGAACAGACTTTTTTGAAGGAGCAGAAGGCTTGGAAGTAGGTTTCTGGAGTCATATAACGCAAAATAAGTATCCAACAAATAAATTGGAGTCATCAGCCACGCTGTCATTAAAGTAAAAAACAATACTCACTTCATCAGAATCATCATCTGAAGAGTCAGAACTGCTGGATGGGTTGCCTTTACCATTTTTAGCAGCTTTGGGAGCGGGTTTCTGGGAAAGAATAAGGTGGTAAGTTATAAGGAAAATAAATCTACGTCAATTAGTTCAAAATTTTAATGTTGCAAGATCGTCATGAACCAAAATATAACTCTAACATTCAGGGAAAACTTTGAAAATCATTTTACAGCAATATATGATGAAATCCATTTACTCAATAAACAAAACGATGTCCATGCCGCAGAACCAAAATGATGAAATCCAGTTCCTCAAGAAAATATGATAACACTTTAAACAGATAATCTTAAAAACTGAAACTTTATTAAGACATTTAAGTTCATATGTGAAGAAGTAATCAAACAGCCAACAATACATTAGCCAACATAAAAGAATGCAAAAAAAATACGAAAATAAACAATAAATTGTGTAATATACCTTTACATCAGAGTCTGATGAAGACAAATCAGACTCCTCAGAACTACTAGTTTCTTCCTTCTTCTTTTGTGTCTTTGCTTCAACTTTCTTCTTCTGAATAGCCTGCTGTACACCCTCATCCCTCTTCTGCTTCTTTACATTCACCGCCTTCTCTATCACATTCTCGGCTTCTCTCTTACCTTCTCAACATAACCACAACCAAAAGAGCTTTATAAGCCAATAGCCGAAAAGAATATCAAAATAAACGAACCATGTAAAAAAAACTAAACTTCAAATTATACCAGCAACCCATAGACATATCATCCTCACACAGTATAGTGAGTAAACCCAGTTAAATTATAAGAAAATATTCCAAAACGTCAAAGAATTAATACCTTTCTTGACAGCCTTAGAAGGTGGGACTACAGCAGGAGCTGCATCGACCTGTACAAAGACATAAAAATCTAGTTAGAAAAACGAAACCATTGAAGCAAAAGCAAAGACATCACGAGCCAAAACAGCTGGAAAGAACCATACTTTGGAGGCTGACTTCTTGCTTGATTTGCCCATTTGAGAGGGTAATCTAGGGTTTAGATATGAAGAGCGAAAAGAATATAGAAAAAGAGGGGCGGAGGCTATGCTCTGAAAAACCCTAAGGTTTAGGGTGTAGGGTTTTTGTGAGAGCGGTGGAAAAGAATGATAGAGTACTCATCGATGCTCTCTATTTATATAATTTCGAATCGGTGAGGGGGTTAGGGTTTTTGACAGGTAAGCGTGTGCTTTTTTTTTTGTCAAGGCTTGTAAGCGTGCGTTTTGAGTCCTTTGAATCTGCACCGTTTTTTTTTTTTTTTT